AAATGGAACCTGTTCCACCAAAATTTTTGTACACAACTTTCATGAACATATAGACATGTATGTGTTAGATGAAGTCCAGGAAATGTCTAAACAATGATCATGTACATGTATAAGTTGAATCATATAAAATGATCTCGACTACTGCTTTTAATTCTGTCAAAAGATGACTTAACAATAGAGTAAAGGAAGCCAACTTGAACCTAACTCAACTTGTTAAAGCATATAACTTTAATGCCCAAGATTTGGATTAGGATTTGGAATCAAAATTCGGCACCCAATTGCCTCAACATTCTCCTGCATGCCTTACAAAATGACCACATTACCTACTCGTCTTAAACTAATTCTAATAGTAAAGACTATCCCCATAGACCAATCCATATATTTTTAGTATGTTTTGTCATCACTCACACACTTAACTTTGGTTTCTTATAATTGAGTCAGTGAAGATGTGTCTTGCTAGTATAGATCGTAATTATCAATTCTTTTAAACCTTTATTAAACATAACTTCATATCCTTTGGATCATTCTCAATCAGATTTGGTCTCAGTTCATTCATGCATTCCTTCTCTACCGACCGTCACATACATCTTAACAAAGATGTAGGTGATGGTCTAAATGATCATAGAAAAAATGACACGAGGAACCTCATGTAAATCGACAACAAGAAAATTATTAATGTGTTCAATAGGTATACCTTTTTAACGCCTAAAACTTGGAAGCTTCAACTTGAGGTGAGTCATTGGCATCCTTGGTCTCATCTGTGTTAACCCCACCAGGGATGGAACTTTCTACGGCTACTTCATCACTATCTTCCATTGATAATTCTAGCTGAGGATCAGGTATTCCATCACTGCCACCTTCTTCAAGTTCCTCTGCCTCTCGGTCAAGACGAAACAGTGGATCAACATGAGGTCTTTCTCCTTCTACCATCATTTTCAGATCATCTTCCAGGTTGTCCACGTATTCAAATCTCCTCAATATGTCAGGAGTTGGGAACGTCTCATCCTCCAAATATTTAGTACCCCTTTCCATATCGAGTTTCTCCTTCGAGCTAAAAATACCTTCTTCAAGATAAGGAGTAACGCCCATCATCATGTCATCCTCCTCAACAATGGATCGGAACTTATGTGATGACGGTGGAATTTTCGAGAAAAATACTTCTCCAACGTTCTTCATCGTTCCTTTATTATATGGATTCTCCTTCTTGTCATACCGATACCGGAAATTCTCATAGGTAGTCTGCATTAGAATGACTTTATTAGGATAAGCAAGCAAGTATAGTATTAAACACTGAACTACTATTTGTATGTATAAATTGTGAATTGAAGTGGGTGAGTATAAGAAAACTACCTGATTTGTGAGTACAAGATAAGAATGGAATACGGAAAGGCCACCAACGAACCAAAAGGCAATGAAACAATACACTACTAGAATATCTGAAAGGATGTCTTTGGACACAGCCTTGAAAAAGGCTTCTTGATGATGAATAAGGATGGACAACGAAAACGACAACACGTATAAACACAAGATTGTCGAGGTCGTTATGAACATGAAGAAGAACCGATAATTACGCTGCAACAGTAACAACAATGGATCTAATAGTTAGAATTCAACAAAATAAATGAAATGAAATGAAATGAAACCTGTAAGTGCTTTCAGAATTATGTTAACCAAATTTGAGGCAAAGTTTAATAAGATTGGTTTAAGTATATGAATATCTTACTATTCCAATGCACTGCCCAACCCATGGGCAGTGATGATCAAATCTCTGAACACAATTGTTGCATATGGAACAATGAGATGCACGAGGAGGGCGATAAAATAAACAAGTGTCACAGTACTTGACTTTTACTGTATGACCATTTATAGTCACATCTTTAATCCGAGGGATTTTTAGATGTGGGGTTCTTCCATTGATCCATTCCATGGATGGTGTATTCATGTCATCTAATTCATCTGACTCAAGAGGCCTTGAATTTCGAGGCAGTATTCCAGGATCTCTACTAGAAGTCACGAACAGAAATATCAAATCCTGCACATAGTTTACTTCCCATGTGATTTTCAGATTCAAACAAAAACTGCATTAAGGATAATGAAAATGCACTGATTTTACCCTAAAATTCTCATCGGCCTTTAGTGTGAAGTTTAGAATGACTAGTAAGTGAAAAATGAAACACGCTTTCAATAAGCATTTTGAGAATACTTTGAGAAGAGTGTTATAATCAAGAGTAACCGATATACATTGCTAAGTTTTAGAGTTTATTATGCTGTCAATAATCATGGAAGAAAAATCATAAGTCTAGCCCAAAGCCCACCTCTAGCAAATATTGTCCGCTTTGGTTTGTTACGTATTGTCGTCAGCCTCACGGTTTTAAAACGCGTCTGCTAGGAAGAGGTTTCCACACCCTTATAAGGAATGTTTCGTTCCCCTCTCCAACTGATATGGGATCTCATAATCCACTTCCCTTGGGGGACCAGCGTCCTCGTTGGCACAACGTTGGGTGCCTGGCTCTGATACCATTAGTAAAACCTCAAGCCCACCACTAGCAAATATTGTCCGCTTTAGCCCGTTATGTATTGCCGCCAGCCTTACGGTTATAAAACATGTATGCTAGGAAAAGGTTTCCACACCCTTATAAGGAATGTTTCGTTCCCCTCTCCAACCAAGGTGGGATCTCATAATCCACCCTCTTGGGAGGCTAGCGTACTCGCTAGCACACCGCTCGATGCTTGGCTCTGATACCATTAGTAACAACTCAAGCCCACCACTAACAAATATTGTCCGCTTTGGCCCGTTACGTATCACCGTCAACCTCACAATTTTAAAACGCGTTTGCTAGGGAGCGGTTTCCACACCTTTATAAGGAATATTTCGTTCCCCTCTCCAACCAATGAGGGACCTCACAAAAAAACTCGAAGGACGAACTACAGATAACCATGGAAGGAAATATTCTATACAGTCTCATCTCTATAGTTTTCTTCCGTTCTTTCAAGCTCTTACACACTAATTGCTTAGACCACCTTACTAAGAAGACGGGCACAAACAATTAAAACTCACCAGAAAAGTGAGGGCGAGACCTCCAAATAATACAGGATACCAACGAGCGTTCCCAGGTGGTTCAACATCATGGATCTTCAAATATATCTTTACGCAGAAAGCAACTGCAGGACCAGCAATAAGACATATGGAGAGAATCAGAGATGATACGTCAGGGCCAAATATCAATCTCCCACCACAGAAAAATCTCTGAGAAGACACAAGAAACGAAGTATCATCCATTTGAGTAATATTACATGAATAAACAAATAATGTATGATATGATATCTATTCACGAAATACAGAAGAATTCTACTAGTTCTTTATATTCAGATGAATATCATACAAAGCAGAAACACTCACAGATACAACTTAGATTTTCCTTCAACGATCTCAGCTCATAAACAGAGTCACCAAGTTGAACTTGAACAAAATGAATCAATCGTAAACAAAGAAAGAAACAATGGCACTGATAGATACATCAAACACTATCTCAAATCCCAAATGTTGAATCAAATAACGAATTCAAAACAAACCCATCAAGCAAAACAAAAGGGTAAGAACGCACATTACTTCCCCTCCAAACTTGGTAAAGTCTTAAGAGGTTGTTCGGCGTGGCCATACCGAGTCCGGTGAACGATCCACCCAACTCGGAGAATCCTGTACCCAAAACACAGTAAGAACAAAACACAAACCCTTATTCGTTCACCAAAAAAGCCATCGATTAAAACAGACGAACCCCCAAATCAAGACCCGATTCAAAAGACGATTCAAGAAATCAGAAACATCCCCTTCAGCGGTAAGATCTTTTTCAACACACAAAACGAAACTAAACTACGTGCGTACACATGAGAAAGAAAAATAAACGTTGAATCTTAAAGCGCGGAAACGATGGAGGAAGGTTCGGAGGGTTTTCGATCAAAAGCCAGCTGAGGCTCTCTGGGTCTGCTCGTGGAAAAAATGGGTTGCAGAAATTGGAAGAAGAAGGAGTAACCCAAGAGAAAGGTTCGTCTCTGTGTGTTGTGAAAACGATGAAATGGGTTTGATGGCATTGATGTGTTAGGCGGCAGTTTCAATTTCCCGCGGCATTCGCGCCCGACACACCCAACATTCTTTGTCGATTGGAAATGGAAAGTGCGTAAAAATAATAATGGAAATTTTGGGAGCTTTCAACTTCGCTACCTCCAATCCAACTCCATCGTTCTATCCATGAAACGTGCTGTTACATACTCAACCTCCTTTCTTTCTTTAATGTCTTTCCAATCAAATTCTAATTCCACGGGATTAACTTCATGTTGGTTGCTTCATTGTCAAGTCATCTCAAATTTCATATCTTTTTTTCTCTAAGTACAATAATTATGAAACAAATACATTAATTTGTACTTAACCAACTTCTAGTTTTTATTTTCATTTTTTTTTCATATCTCATTAGAATTAGATGGGCAATTATAATTGAAGTAATTACCATAGTAAACGAAAATTTTGATCTAAGGGTAAAAAATGCTTAATTGTCAGCTATCTCTTCCCCTTTTTCGGCTCATTCATTATGTAAGCAAGCAATGGTTCAACGCTACACCATATTTGCATCAATTCCTTCCCTGTTTTGGGTCTCACTCCTACCTATTCCTACCGTCGAACGATAGAGAGCATATAGTTATTTGTTCATCCCTAAATCGTATGGTTTCTTACTGAATTAGTTCACGAGAAAAAAATGGATCATTTCATGCATGTTCTAGATTGTGGCTACAAACAATGCATGAACATGAAACCATAACCCTACTGTTTGTTTATGGTTATATCACGATATAATATGTCCCCGACCAACACGTGTCCTTTTAATGTCTTTTTAGGAAGTGCATTCATTGGTACAAGTAGTAAGCTACCAATTCTTTTAAGTTTTTCTCAAACCATTAATTCATATAATCAATAACACTTTCATTTAAATGTAATATCAATTCATTAATGTAGTCATCTTTCACAAGAGCATAATATGACTAAGAAGATCGGATACGATCTGATACATTAGTAAGAGTGTCAACTTTTCTTGCCACAACAGGACACCATGGAGACCTACCCGACCTACTTCACGATGTTCAATCATTCAGATTTCTTCTTCGTGTTCACTTTCTCCTCGTTCGGTTGTCGAAATAGGAACTTAAACGTCCACACTGCAAGTATGGTTCCTTGAATTGGAGCAATCCAGTATACAAGAAGGTGTTCTTTGGTTATATGTTCCCCACGAGCATACGCCCATCCTATTACCTATGGAGAAAAGTTGAAAAGGATTAATGCGTGATATTGTTTGAATGAAATATGAGTATTGAGACTTACAGAGGCAGGGTTCATGCAGCCACCGGTTAAGTCAGAACCAAGAATCTGAAGAGTTAACTTGGAGCAGCTGGAGATCCATGTCTTCATGAAGAAATTTCCTGGGAGTGTCGTGGACAGTCCAAGCGAGATTAGGACAATGCCGTATGTTAACAATCCTTCTGTTAGAGCACCGTGATGGATGCCAACGTTCAAATGAGGCCCTCGTCCTGCTTCAGGGATTGTCTGGATAATCAGCCTAACACCACTAATGGCTCCAAGTACCTGAAGAGGCAAGCCAGAAACATCATCATCTGTTATTCTTCTTCACATTTCCATCCATTCTAATGTATTATCTTCGGTCACACGGTTCTAAAATGTGTCTGGTAGGGAGAGGTTTTCACACCCTTCTAAGGAATGTTTTGTTCTCCTCTTCAACCGCTCACAACCCACCTCCCTTCGGTGCCTAACATCCTCGGTGGCACACCGCCCGGTGCGTGGCTCTAATACCAGATGTAACAGCCCAAGCAGCCTACTGCAAGCACATATTGTCCTCTTTGAGCTTTTTCCTTTCGGGCTTCCCATCAAGGTTTTTAAAACGTGTCTGTCATTGGACGATGTGAAGGACTGGTTGGAGTAGAGTTAGACCCTCTTTATAGTAGATGCGTTTGAAAACTGTGAGACTAGTGACGATATGTAACAGGCCAAAGTGGACAATATTTGTTAACAGCGGCTTGAGTTCTTATAAATGGTATCAGAGCCAAACAAAGGATGCTGGGCTCTAAAGGGGTGGATTGTGAGGTCTCACATCAGTTGGAGAGGAGAGCGAAACATTTCTTAGATTTTAAAATCACGATGCTAACGGTGATACATAAAGAACCAAAACAGACAATGTAAACTAGCAATAGGCTTGAGTTGTTACAAGATCTTTCTAAAGAAGAAACGTCAATAATGAAGGGAAAGGGGACTATTCCCCTCCCAACAATCCTCCCACACAGAAGAAAAACGACCAAACCATTCCCAAAATCTTGGAGAACATCAGGTAACCGTTCCCTTTTAAGCATAAGATCATGTTTTTTTTTCTTTTTTTCATGCAATGCAAGTGCAGTAAGTTTAAGCCTGTGAGAATAATGAAGATAACCACCATAGAACCCAGACAAAAGTTTTAACAGATACAAAACGCAAGGGGAAAAGAACCTGAGCAGGGATTCTGGCACCAGCAACGAAGAGAAAGCTACTGGAATCCCCAGAAAAAGCATCAGACAAGATGTTAAGAGGATTATAAGAAGCCCCATTCCAAATTTTCGACAAAAACGCAAACACAAACATGTTGAGAATCGAAAAGGAAGCCTTCACAATCTCACCGACCGGATCATTTCCAAATCCCAATGTCCCAAAAACAAAGATCTTAATCAAAGTCCCCGACCATACCCACATAAAAGCCAACACAAAATCCAACACAAGCAATCGAGCCCCACGAGTCATCCTTCAAAATGAGATCTTTTGGTGTTTTTTCTTTGACCCTTCCCTCCATCCCTCCTCTGGATCGATATAAAAGCGCTCAAGGGTCGAGAGGAAGGAACATTGGTCGATGATGTTCGATTGGACATGGCCGATTTTAGTAATGTCTGAACGTCCCATTCTATTTTAATGACATGTTATTTTTGAAATGATATTGTTTATAATGTGTAGTTGATCTTGTTAAAAATATCATTTTTATGGAGAGACGTTTGTATCATAGTTTGAACAAAATAATGATGATGAGCATGAATGGTTTTTTTCTCATAAGGTTATGGTTTGAATTTGACCAAAAAAAGCTCCACACAGATCATGTGCTCTGGTCTTGCAAGCCTTAAGAAGCCAGCACGTCCGTTTGTCTGTTCTGTCAACCGAAACAATTACTTTAAAATGTCTTCCCTCGCTTCGCCTTTAAACGGCCATCGAAGCTCTCGAATGATCCAGCAATGGCGATGCCTTCAGAATCAACCATCCTTGCATTGTGGACCCACAGACAACCTTGCCGTTGAAAAAGGGGATTCTTTCTCGTATGTTTTCAGGTTCTCACTCATAATTGGCTTCGCAGCCCCCCAAACGGATAGTTTCATCATTTTCTCGAGACGAAATCGATATTCCGGGTACGTTTTGATTTCTTTACAGCTTTAGAGGAATTCCGGCCACTGCTCGGCTGTTTCAGAGAAGGATCGTAGGTACTTTTCATTGGAATTTTGATCATAAACTTGTAAGTTCTTCATTTGGGGGTTCATGTTTTCGATCTGGACTGGTTTAGGGTTTTGGTGTTTCGTTTCATAGTAGTGACCAGAATCTTCTAATTTAGGTTTGAAGTGGTGCGTAATTGAGCTTGAGCTTTTCTTTCCCTTCTCGACCTCGGAATTTGAGTATTGATTTGTTCAGAAGGGAAAGAAAATGAGCGTTGTTTCGGGTGTGGTTTCTCGGCAAGTCTTGCCTGTATGCGGCAGTCTTTGTTTCTTCTGTCCAGGATTGAGGGCACGGTCTAGACAGCCCGTGAAGAGGTACAAGAAGCTCATCGCCGATATATTTCCTCGTAATCAGGTCAGTTCTTTTGATGTTTATAGCATTACTTCGTTTCCTGTTCCATCTATGGGGTTTTGGGTTTAGGGTTTATAAAATCTCGACCAGTTCATCAACTCATAGTTCATCCCTCATGACTCAAAACTTACTTCACATTGAGTTGTTCATCACTTTTATGCAATTATCTTCATAATTGACTGAGAATAATCCCTATATTACGCTAGGAAGAAGGACCAAATGATCGAAAGATATCGAAATTATGCGAATATGCTGCTAAAAATCCTCTTCGAATTCCAAAGGTAATGTTTATTAAGCCTTACCATTGTGGTCTGCCATGTATTCATGTTAAACTTCCTAATTTCATGATCAGATAACAACTTCCCTTGAGCAAAGGTGTTACAAAGAACTGCGGAACGAGAATTTCCATGCCGTTAAAATCGTCATGTCGATCTACAGAAAACTTGTGGTTTCATGTAAGGAGCAAATGTGAGTAAACCATCTTTTGTTTTCTGGATCTGTTTTCTGTACATCTTCTCTGTCATTCTCAACTTTAGTGGTTGGAAAACATAACTATTGATTCATGTGGATGAGTGAACTACTTGTAGGTCTCTGTTTACGAGTAGCTTAATAAGTATTATCCAATCTCTAATGGACCAAACACGACAGAAGGAAATGCAAATTATAGGATGTCAGACTCTGTTTAGTTTTGTGAATAGTCAGGTAAGTGAAAAATATAGCTTTAGTTCTTTCTTTCATTATGTTGATATGTTTTATTGGTTTAATATTCGAACTTCTGATGGTCCAGATTGATGGGACTTACATGTTTAACTTAGAAGCCTTTGTTCCAAAACTGTGTCAATTAGCTCAAGATAGTGGAGAGGATGAAGGGGCTGAAGGCCTGCGTTCGGCTGGCTTGCAAGGCCTTTCCTCAATGGTATGCCTTTCTATTTCTACTATTTACATTTACATTAAGCTAGTCAAGGAGTGATAATGTGAAATCCCACGTCGGTTGGAGAGGGGAACGAAGCATTCCTTATAAGAGTTAGACGCGTTTTAAAACCATGATGCTGATGACGATACGTAACGGGCCAAAATGGACAATATCTACTAGCGGTGGGCCTGGGCTGTTGCAAATGGTATTAGAGCTAGACACGGGGCGGTGTGCTAGCGAGGACACTATGCTCCCAAGGGGGGTGGATTGTGAAATCCCACATTGGTTGGAGAGGGGAATAAAGCATTCCTTATAAGGGTTAGACGCGTTTTAAAACCATGAGACTGATGGCGATACGTAACGAGGCAAAATGGATAATATCTGCTAGTAGTGGGCTTGAGATGATACAAATGGTATCAGAGTTAGACAATGGGCAGTGTGCCAGTGAGGACGTTGGGCTCCCAAGGGAGGTGGATTGTGAAATCCCACATCAGTTGGAAAGGGGAACGGAGCATTCGTTATAAGGGTTAGACACATTTTAAAACCGTGAGGCTAATGACGATATGTAACGGGCAAAAGTAGACAATATTTGCTAGTGGTGGACTTGGCTTGTTACAAATAATGCAAAACCTAAATAATGAAATAGTCTATTGCTCGAAAATGCAAAACCTAGGAGCGATAAAAGTAAAGCAGGAAGAAAAATTAGAGAGAAAGAGTAATAGCCATACCGATTAAAAGTAAGAAATCAACAAAAGGCTTGGAGAGAGAAGGCTGAGAGAGAGAGAGAACACCATAAAGAAGCCTTCAGTATAGCAAATTCGAATCGATCAGACCAAGGAAGATGCTTGTCTTCAAAAATTGATTCCTCTCCATTCATAATTCTTAGTGTTTTTATTATGGTTCCTTATCATGATGATGCTACTAATAATAAATTAATGACATGAATAAGCCACCTACGAACTCATGAAATTGCAAAGAGATTACATTTGCATAGCATATTCCTATCTATTTTCATGTACTTCAGTAAATGGGTCGTTCGAATAGCTTGCCAAAACTAATTTGGTTCATTGTTTTTTTTTTTCTTCCAGGTGTGGTTTATGGGTGAACACTCTCATATTTCTGTCGAATTTGATAATGTAAGTTGCTTCCCTCAAACTTGTACCTTCGACAGAAAAATAAACATTATTTCTATTGACTTGTATTATCATTAAACAGATTGTTTCAGTGATCCTAGAAAACTATGGGGCTCCTGCAAAAGATCCAGACAAGTTAAATGATCAATGGGTGCAAGAAGTGGTACGGGACAAGGGTCATATCTCTTCATCGTCAGTTGTCATGACGAGCATACCATCTTGGAGGGAAATCGTGACTGAAGGAGGTGAACTGAACTTGATAGGGTAATAATCATTCATCTCTGGTGAAGTCCCCATGCAATAATCTTGCTGATATAAATATTTCATTATAAATTAACTATCTTTGCTTGATAGGGAGGATGTCCGAAACCCTTGCTTTTGGTCTAGAGTTTGCCTACACAACATGGCCAAACTAGCCAAAGAAGCTACAACCATGAGGCGTATATTAGAATCTTTGTTTCGTTACTTCGATAATGGAAATCTGTGGTCTATTGAACATGGCATTGCAGCTCCAGTTCTGAAAGATTTGCAGTTCCTAATGGACAAATGTGGTGTGTTCTTTCAATCCTATTCCTGTTTGTACCTCATGTTTGCTTGTGTTTCTGGTTCATCAATTATGTTTTGATTTTGACAGGTCAAAATACCCATGTTTTGCTTTCCATATTGATTAAACATCTTGACCATAAAAATGTCCTGAAGCTGCCTAAGATGCAGCTTGACATTGTTGCTGTGGCTACTGCCCTTGCTCAAGAGGCAAAAGTTGAACCTTCTATTGCAATAATTAGTTCAGTTAGTGACTGCATGAGGCATTTGAGGAAGAGCATACACTGCTCACTCGACGATGCAAATTTAGGGGATGAAGTGAAAAATTGGAATAAAAGCTTAAATCAAGCAGTAGATCAGTGTCTGATACAGCTAATATATAAGGTGATGAAAATTTAAACCGCTTAACTTTTATTATTGCTGTGCATATTTTAAGATTTTAAATAAGAACTGGAAAGCAGGTTGGAGAACCAGGCCCAGTTCTTGATGCTATGGCTGTGATGTTGGAGAGCCTTTCTTCTGTTACAGTCATAGCCAGAACTGCAATTTCTGCTGTTTATCGTGCTGCTCAAATTGTTGCCTCCTTGCCTAATTTATCATATCAAAACAAGGCAAGAAACAATCTTCTGCTTTTGAGTCTGATTCATTCTCTCCAGCAAAGTTTAGCCTTATGATTTTAATAAATTCAGTGTTTTATGGCATAGGCATTCCCTGAGGCTTTGTTTCATCAGTTATTACTGGCTATGGTCCATCCCGATCATGAAACACGAGTTGCAGCTCATCATATTTTTTCAGTTGTCCTTGTGCCATCTTCTGTTTGTCCTCGTCTACGCTCTTCAGATGTCGAGTCAAGGATGACTTCTGATGTTCCTAGGACATTCTCAAGAACTGTCTCTGTTTTTTCTTCTTCAGCTGCCCTTTTCCAGAAGCTAAGGAATGAAAAATTGTCCTTGCTGGAAAATGGTCATCCAGATATGAAAGATAGCTCTTTTGCCGATGGCAAACAGGAAAACGCAAGCAATGGAATGCAAAGTAGCTTGAAGTCATCCTACAGTCGGGCATATAGCACAAAAAACTCCGGACCTTTGAGAACTGATGCGACTGCGACTACTATGAACAACTTGAGCAAAGAACCAGTATGTTGTGTGAAAATCCTTTCATGTTTTAAGTCGTTTATTTTAATAATTGTTTAGTGTTGAGAGAAGATAGCTCAGTCTGCGTTATCGATCTTCGGTAACTGGGGTCGCTTACTTTTTCTTTTATGAATCAAATGTCAGGAAACTCATTCTCTCCGACTCAGTAGCCACCAAATTACACTTCTGCTCTCATCAATCTTTGCACAATCCATATCTCCTGCTAATGTTCCAGAAAACTATGAAGGAATTGCCCATACATACAGCTTGATCTTGCTGTTTTCTCGAGCTAAGGTAAAACAACGCTTTTCAGATTTGATTTTTCTTTTTACTGGGATGAACTGTCAATATATGTTTCTTTCCATGCAGAATTCAAGTCATGAGGCCCTAATACGAAGTTTTCAGTTGGCGTTTA